TACGATCGTTTGACAGGCAGGAATGCCAAAGATCGTGATGCGCGTTAAAGTCGCCTAGCACCAAACGGTTTTCACCTCGAAGTAGCGCACTTATGTTCGGGTGATATCCTGTTGGGCAACATGTAACTGGGGATGTATATATTATATTAAATATCTCGAGCTCGACATCGCCAGACTGGACAGCTATACCCTAAAATTCCAGGGTAGTGTTCCTGCGGTCAATGTCACCATCGATTACACGATATTGCACGGTGTTGAATATCGAATATGAAGGCTAGGCCTCCACCAATATCTCGCTCGCGATCCTTACGCAAAACGTTGAAACCTGCACAACTCAGAAGATCTGGCGGCTGTTTAACTTGATTTCTTAAACCGTAGCTATCGATACGCATTCCCGGCTCATATATGCAACTATCTCCTCGATCTTACTCTGAAGTTCGTTGCAATTAAATTGTAGAATTCGCGTTCGCGGGTGTCCGGTTGTGATCCTGTGGGTGAGGGAGGTGCGTGTAGGTGGTGGTTGTTGCAGCTGTAATATCCGCATGGCCGGTTGTCGCACTGTGATATTGTTTGGCGACGCCACTATATGGGATTGCGGGGCAGACTCCTACAACACGGAGCAACATACGACGCACTCCACTCACGTGTGGTGCTCAGGCCGGAACACGACAGAAAGTGACACCAGGCAGTGCAAGAATTGCACTTGACTGATATGACGTTATTAGTGGGTATATTATATAATAATGTTGAATGAAATAAGAATGCAAGTTTGTTACGATTTCACGCCGAATCCACTTAACTATCATATAAATTGGGACACTTATTGGTAAGAACATAGGATACTAAAATATATATATTTTTTACGGATTAAGAAAAAAATTATTTTTGGAGATCATGTTTTTTTGTAAACTAAATTTAAAAATTGAAAAAATGTATTGCAGATATACAATTTTTTGTAGAAAAATTTGAAAATCTAACAACTAGGTTTTGCTGGTTACTTCCACCATTACAAAGGTGGTCATCGCGGTACAGTTATCGTGTATTTAGTCAATTTGTTTTTGTTAATGATCTGTGATATTTATTTAAGGAATTCAATGCGAGCAAAGCCTCAAATAAAGCTAGTTATAAATATTTTATATGAAAATATGATTTTTCAACGCCTACTTATGTTAAGATTATTTTTTTTACTTTTCCCCGGTGAAAACGTGACGCGTAATTTATATATATAACTATATATATTTATATGTATATATGTATAATAAACAAAAAATATATGGTATAAAATCATATTGTATGAATATAAATAATTTAATATTATATAAACACAGTAATTTAGAAGAAGTCACAGAAAGTAGTTGCATACCACATCTGCTCAAAGGTTATTCACCCAATTGAACCGTAACTAATAAGTACCACTTACAAACGGTAGAAGAAATGCGTGATGTTTTACTCCAAGACCTTAATCGAATTGTCCGCATAGCTTTGGACTTTACATATCCCCACAGGAAAAAGTCGAACGGTGTGAAATCACACAATGTTTGTGCCCAATGGACCGGCCCAAAACGTGAAATTATCTGCTCACAGAAGTGTTTTCTTAATAAAACCAATGATTGATGCGATGTGTGGAAAGTGGCGCCATCTTGTTGAAACCAAATGTCTCCGAGATCACGAGCAGCAATTTCAGGTACCAAATAGTCGGTTATCATGCCGCGATAACGGTCGCCATTGACGGTTACGTTCTCACCAGCATCATTTTTGAAGAAATATGGACCGATGATTCCACCGGCCCACAATCCACACAAAACCGTTTTTGTTTGTTTTATGAAATGGCAGCTTTTGAAATTCTTCAGGTTGCTCTTCGTCCGCAATACGACAATTTTGCTTGTTTATAAACCATAAGAAATTGACCTCTTCGCTAAATAAAATTTGGCTCGAAAACATCGGATCTTCTTGGAACTTTTCAGTAACCGATCTTCGTGTACACTCTTAGCTATGGCCGCTATATTTTCTTCACTGCGTGCTGGACGTGGTCTATTCGGTCGAATATTATTAATGAATGCTGGGTCTCAAGATGGGTGATGGTGATTGCGATCCATTTTATTGGCATGTGCTCTTCCGCATAGTTTGTCTTGTATCCAATAAATCGGCCTAACTCACGCCGCCGAAAAGCATCCCCATAAAATTATTGATTCGCCTCCGTGTTTAATGGTTTTTCGTGTATATCTGGGGTCAAAATCCGCGTTTCGAGGTCGTTGTACAAAAGTTTTGCCATCGGATCTAAATAAATTAACTTTTGTTTCATCCGACCACAGGAAGTTATTCCAATTTCCACGAAGCATGTGCCTTTGACCAAATTCAATTCTCTTTTCTTGCACTTCTTCCAGTTAGACCAGCTTCCCGAAGTCGGTTTCTAACCGTGCGACTGGTTACTGTTACATTTAGTAATTTTTAATATTTTCAAACGATAAAAATGTATCCTTTTTTGATTGCATTACCAGCAAATGGTCAAACCGTTGTTTTGCGTTCCTGTCCTCTTTTTAACTTTTTAAGCTTGTTTTAAAGGCACTACATACCATATTTTTTGGAGCATTCCCTTATGTGCGCTATTTCACGAATAGGTTTTCCCGATTTTCTTAATTTAATAATGTTTTTCTTTTCACTTTCCGTACAATGTTTTTTTATATTTTATATAAAAATATTTACTTGTTACGTAATACAGTCAATTTCAACTAAACAATAAATAGTCTCTTAATTTTCAGTGCAAACTAATAAATAACTAAAATTTTTCCTATTATTTTTTCCGAGTGTTTAATTAAAGTTCTGTTTGATAGCATTAGTTTACAGTTAACTTCAATACTGTGAGAAGAATATATGCAAATCTGTGCTAAAAAATATGGGAATAAATGTGATGCCCCTTTTATTTTTTCCAACACTATATCAGAATGACGAGACAAGTATCTGTCTGCCCGTCCATCCGTACGTCCGTCCATCTGTCCGTGCCTGCGGTAACTTGAATAAAAATTAAGAAATTTTGATGAAACTTTCTATCTCCTCTTACGACAGTGTGAAATTGGCTGAAAACGGATAATAACTCCCTACTTTTCATATAACAATAATGTTGAAAACTACTAAAAGTACGATAATAATAATTTACAGCTAAGATACTACGGAAAGGCTACCAGATTACGGGCTCGATATTGTAGGGTTAACCTTCTCCATCCCCGATATATCAAATATATGTCCTGCGTGCAATCATTCCCCGCATGACTCTAACCGCCGCTTTGCGGATGAATGTCATTCATCTAACACCCATCTCCTAATGTTCCGACCCGTCAAAACAGCTAGTTTCCGGGTCCTACCGTTAGACCGTTTCGTTGACAACTAACTGGCGCCTTACCACCTAAACAGGGTCTACTTAACCACTACAACAACAATGACAACATCCATATGTACGATATCTTGGCAAAATTAAGTTTACTTACAATACTTTAAGTATAAAAGTTTATTGACTAAAATGTGTGAACTTGGTCTACGAATCCCATTGGTCTACGAATACCCTAGCTCCCAAGTGCTACATGTAATGGTTTTAAAATTAAAAATTGCGAGAGAATAAAATGTTCGGTTACACCCGAGCTAAACCCTTCTATACTTTGAACTTGGGTATACGCTTGTATAATGGTTACAATAAAATTTCTTAATTTTTCGTGGGGTTAAATTTGGTGGCAGTGGCCTTAATTCGTAAGCAATCTAATTGCAAAAAGTTTAATTAAGTTAATGTTTTCTTGAGTGTTTTTAATTTTTAAAATGGTATAACAATATGTTAAAGAATGTACTTATTATTAAAATGATCTTAAAAGTGTTTCCAAAGTCTAACAACCTAACTATAATGAACTAAAAATTCTTTAGGATGTCGTTTTAGGTAATTAAACATTTCGGCGACCGAATCAAGAAATTCCGTAACGGAAATAAACCTAACACGATCACAAAGTATGCGCGAAATGTTTGTATAATTTTAGGCGTATTTTCGCATTTCTCAAGCGGAACAGATATATTGAAGATCAGGGGATTCAAAAATAATATAAAATTAAAATTTTTTTAATGACAAATAAAAATATGGAATTAAACAAATATTTAATTAATAAAAAATAAATTATTCATTATTCGCAGTTATAATATTAGTACCATTATTATTATTTTGGTAGTAGTAGCTACTTCACCTTTTGGAACAGTATCTGGGTTGAAATTTCAACATCAACTTCGCTGATAAAAAATAAGAGCGATTGATAACTTTAAAAATTGAATTTGAGAATGAATAATGATCCACAAGAATCCACAAAAAAATATGCTACCAGAGATAAAGAGATGCCCAACTCATCTCTCACTGGAAATGAGAGCGCAATTGCTAAACGTCAAAACCTCCTGAGCTTGGGCAACTGTCAATCCTACAGAAAAATATGTGAACAGAGATACTTGTTGCTGCCGTTGAAGATCACTAACAAAAATTGGAAAACAATGAAAATGAAAGAAAAAGCGAAATTGAAATGTATGTGATAAAATCTTCTGACACTAATTTTTAGGCGCTCTCACACTGGAATAAGTCAGGCATCCCTTTATCCCTGGTTTCAATGAAAAAATTCCTGAATAACCTACTTGTATTGTAAAATAAAAAAAATATTTTAAACAATATTAACTTCTCATTTATTCAATAAAAGAAAAAAATTTGTTTACTAATCGGTCATCACGCGCAAAAAGTGCAACTTAAATTAATATCAAAGAAAAAACTTGAATTTATTGTACATCAAAATAGTACGTGTGGCACTCTGGGACTGCCGCGGTAGAGCTATTGCAAAGCATTTTTTTTAATCAACTTATGCAATTAAAATTAGAAAATATACTTAAAATGTTTGTCTTCCTCAACTATTTTATATTCCACTTATATTTAACAAATTTACTGTACTCATACTTTATTTTTAAAGTTTATTTGTCTTTGCTTTTTACAGAGTTAAAATTCAAACTGTTGCCGCAAAGGGAGAGACTGAACCAGAACGCAAGGAAACGCGGGGCAAAGTAGATGAAGATCGCAAACATGAAATTGAAGCAGCTATTGTTCGTATAATGAAAGCAAGAAAACGTTTACCGGTAGGAAAATCACAATACATATACCTTAAGATTGATAAATACTGTGATCTATCACATTTATTGCCATTGCAGCACAATTTGCTTGTATCAGATGTAACATCACAATTGAAATCGCGGTTCTTACCGTCTCCTGTTTTTATCAAAAAACGAATAGAAGGCCTTATCGAAAGGGAATATTTGGCCAGGACGCCCGAAGATCGAAAAGTCTATATTTATCTGGCCTAAACTCTCACTTAGTTTTACTCTAAAAAAAAAAAAACAGTAAAATAGCAGACGTGAATAGTAAAAAGGGTCTTAAGCAAAGAAATAGGAACTTTGCTGTATTGTTGCATCATCTTCATATGACTTCTTCGCCATTTCTAATTTGCAAAATAATTTTTGTTTGTACGCTAAAATTTCGATCTAAATACTTGATTTCGCTGATCAATTATATTATTGACTTATGCTTGTGCGTAATCCCACTTTCTAAAAAATTTCTCATGATTTTGTTTAGAAGAAAAACATTAACTATTACAACTGAATGCAAATAATTACTTATTACAAGAGTTGATTGATTTTTTCAAATATCACAACTTTGTCGTCGTTTGGTGTCACTGATCACGATGATAGAAATTTTGGTTAAAATGTGGACGCGGTGACATTCATTTAATTATTAATTAGTGGGCTACGCACTGTTACGAGATCAATTACGAACTTGACCTATGCGATGACAACAACCAATCAAATGTATGAAATGAAATCTTAGTTAGAAGTTCACAAAGTCCAAAAACTTCATTTAATTTGGTGACTTTTTATTTGGTAATGTTTAAAATATAATGAAAGGGGTTAATGAAAATAAAATCTACTCAGATCCAAATAAACTAGCTTAGGGTTTTATTTCTTTTGACTTATTTCTCTTTTATATACCACTGAATTTAAATGTATTGCATTATTTACTTCGCTATCAAAAATATGACTTAGTTGAAATGTGAAATGATTGAATAATGATACACTTAAATATAATTAAGACAGTATATTTTAACAATGTCGTTTTAATCTTCCAAAAAACAAAGAATATTATTTGATCTTTTGGAAAATTAGACGTTAATACAGTACAGACGCTGAAGAATTAAATCTTTTTTTAATATCAGGTCAATATAAGGAGAAAAAAAATATAGTGTGGGATATAAGAAGGTAAGTTTTTTTTAAGTTTGTCGTAAAAGGATAACATTTTTTGGACAAGATAAAAAAAAACCCCAAAATTTGGTTATTTGAATTTTTCTCATTATAATTAAGGTTATGTGAAAAAAGTCTAAATACAAAAAATATAGATCTTTTTATTACTTACAACATTGCCATACAACTTTTTTCTATAGGAAATAGAACGTTTTTCACCCTTAAAAATTCAGCCACGCTCATCCCCTTCGGTTTTTGCGCTCTCAGATCGCCCATAAATCATTTTTCCCGTAACGTTTGTTATTTTAACTTTAGTTTTCGATAGGTTTCATTCTACTATAATTTTTTGTTTTAAAAAAGTATATACGCTGGTCTATAAGTGCTTTTGCATCTCTTTTCTTCATCGTCTTTGTTTTTGCCCCGTATAATAGGACGGGAATTATATGAGATTCATAAAGCATAATTTTTCCTATCTCGTGATTAATTTCTATAGTCTTAAGTTCCTATTCTATAGGATAGTTCAATCACTCTATTGAGAACAATATTTTTTCAATGTAGCACATGACTTCTGAAAAAGTTAGCAAAATCTCTTAACTCTTCACTTTACCGTTACACATTTTGATAACAAGCTAGGCTCATATGATAGATTAAATATTAGATATTAGAGATTTATAAAATGTGATTTTTATTTCCGTTTTCATTCCTTGTGATAGTAAGATCAATACCATCTATTTTAGAAAGAAATAAGTTGATGACATTCGAAATGAATATTATATAGGAAGTAGGCTTGTTCTTTTCCGTTATCTCTAATTTTTAGACAGTATGCAGAGTCTCTTTAGACAGATCGTGCCAATTCTGATCCCACATTCATGGAACGCATTATGACTGATGAGACATGGGTTTATGAATACGACATGCAAACAAGCCAATAATTGGAATGGAAAGAGAAAAACGAGCCGAAACCGACAAAAACACGTCAAAGTCGTTCAAAAATCAAAGTGATGTGTGTTTTTTTAATATTCGCGGGTTGGTTCATCATGAACTCGTTCCAACGGGACAGACGGTCAATAAAAAGTATTATTTGATCGTTTTGAGGCGTTTGCGCGAAAACATCATCAAAACGGCCGGATTCATGGATTTTTCATATCGATAAAGCGCGGTCGCACCGAGCTGTAGTTGTAAATGATTTTAAGACCAAAAACTCGTTCAGTACCATCGATCAACCACCGGATTTGGCCCCATGCTACTTTTTTTGTTTTATTTATAATTTCCGGAAACTTTCTGGTCACATAAAGCTTACATTATTTAATTCAGACATTCCAGCTGATTTTAATCCCTTTATGTTGGGTAATGTGTGTGATATTTTAATGAAGATCTGAAGAACTGTATTCTTAAACATAATGTGTTATAGCGCTGAATATGAGTTTATTTATCAAATAATAAATTATTAATTCATTTACAACTCTTTTTATACTCTTGCAATCTGTTGATACAGATAATAATAGTTTTATTTACCTAAAAGTTCTTTGTATCACCTAAAAATAATCGAGTTGGATGGAGGGTTATATATATATAAATGATCAGGACCGTCCGTCCGTGCAAGCTCTAACTTGAGTAGAAATTGAGATATCTTTATGAAACTTGGTACACATGTTTCTTGATACGTATTCGGACCACTGCCACGCCCACAAAACGCCAATAATCAAAAACAAATAAATTGTCATAACTAAGCTCCAAAATAAGATACAAATCTGGTAGTTGAAATCCAAGAGATTGTCTGTCCGTCCGTCCGTTCAAGCAAAAACTTGGGTAAAAAATTAGATATCTTAATGAATCTTGGTACACGGGTTCCTTGAAAAAAAGTTAGAACGAGTTCGTAGATGGACGTAATCGGATCACTGCCACGCCCACAGAACGTCATTAATCGAAAACCCATAAATAGTAAATAACTAAGCCGCAAACCCCGTGTAGCGGTTTTATTAAAAATAACTAAAACTGCGACAAATCAATAACCAAATGCGTCAGAGACATAAAATTTTACATCCGAGATGACACAAATGCTCTTTATAAGAGCAGGTGTCAAAATTGGACAATGCGCGTGGCACCGCCATTATTTAGGTGAAATTACATATGTATATCCGAACCTACTCCACCAATTTCAAGCAAATTTAGTAAGTAAGACTATTTTGACATTCCCAAGTATCAGTGCGAAATAGATGAAACCGGAAAGTAACCACGCCTACTTCCCCATATAACAATTTAAATTCCATCAGATTCTTTCACTTTTTAGTATACAAATCAAGCACCACTGAATATATCTGTAAAAAATTTTGCACAAATAGTGTATATAAGGTTTGCGTTTTAAATGTAAAAATTTCGAAAATCGGCCCATAACTGATCAAGCCCCCAGATACCGAATATGTGGATCCCAGTGCTTGTTGCTAACTTTTTGCTGAAAAAATCGGGCAATCACAGATTATAATTGAATTTGGGGAAAATGTTTTTTCGATAATAATATACCCTTGTGTCAAAAATGGGTTGAATCGGTCAATACTTCTCTTAGCCCCATATACCTAATATAAAGTTTTTCGAACTTCCAGTTGAATTTATACCACATACATGCATGCTAGTTATTTTAAAGAAATTGAGAAAGCGTGGTTTTCTAATAACAGTGTATCTTTGAGCTAAAAATATATAAAACGGGCGAAAACTTACTTTAGCCCCCATATAGCACATATTCACGATCTAGAAACATTCGGCTGACTTTACTTCATATAAGTATATGTTTATATTTATATATTTATAAAATATAAATGAGCAGTTAATGCAGTCGCCCTTCCATTTCTATGCTCCCATAATTTTTGTTAGACTTGAACTTAGCTCACTTGTTAATATACGGTTTTGCAAACAGCTGAAAATATTTCACCGCTTTTGAGACATGCAAATTGAGAGAGTATAAAATGTTCAGTCACACTCTGACTTATTTCTTCCTTACTAGTTATTGTAGATTCTTGCATATTTGCATCGTTACCATATGCATTATCTTCAAACTTAGGACTAAAATTGGAAAATCTGGGACAGCAGCGAAATAACAACATTGTTTATTGGAAAGTAGTTTATAACATAGTAGTTGATTGTATGCCTTGTATGCATACTAAACAGCTGCACGAATGTACAATATTTGTTTGCGGCTTCAAAACATTCTCTTGTTTTTAGAAACGGAATCGGTCTCTAATTCTATGTAAGCGAATATGAATGAGAATAATTTAGAAGCGGAACAGAATGGAATGGAATGAATATTTTATTTTATTGGATATTTGTATTCTTAATATTCGCAAGGTAGAGTATTTGAGAGTACTCTCAAAGAAATGGAAAATATGAAGTGGCTACCTACATAATATGCAAATATGTATGCATAGAATAATATAAATATTTTGATAAATTGTGAATAAGGCGAAAATTAAGATACTCAAAAATTTTTTATCTAAATTTTTAATTACATTTAGCGGTATTAATTGTAATAATATATACATAAATGAATTCTAATTAAAATTAAGTTGCTTTTATCAATATCATTTTATTTAAAACAAGAATTGTAATTAATTCAAAGATGTTTTATAATAAAGGGAAAAAAATATGGTGTACAAAATTACGGACTTTTAATACTTCCCAGAAGATAAGGATATTTCTGTTATAAATTTGGCCTTGAAAATATTAGTAGCGGGTATTCAATACATTCTGGCAGATTAGGGAACTCCCGTATTAAGTATTTCTTTGAAACCATTAAGCGGGTATTATGCATATTGTTCTACCACGTTCATGGTTATAATGATAATGAGCGACAAAAGAGTCCCCATTTAAACGCAGTAATAGGAGAATGCACTACTTGCCGGATTTGCTAATATTTTGCACTATACTTTGTAAAGAAGCGGAAATTCATCCTTATGCAATTCCCACCAAGTTGGATTACAAATTGACTGACATTTCACGAAATCACTGAAAAGCTCATTACTTTCTAATTCCATTTGCACTACATATATTTCCGTCATTATCTCCGTCTGATATATAAGTTATTTTATTTAATATGCTCCAAATGAACTGTTGCATCTGTGCAGAAGTTTAAAGCGGTGTTGCGCTAAATGCGCGTACAGTTTTGCAATTGTTGACAAAAGGACTTGCATATAAGTTATGGTGTAGTGCACTTCTGTGCTTTATTGAGTCTGATTAGAACTAATTTACATTACAAAATTAACTTAAAGCTAAACCTAATAGTTGAACCCATAAGCTACAAAGCTATAGCCGGCAAGCCGACTCAGCATAAGCGATAACGTAGACATTTGCAGCATAGTCAAATATCAGGCTACCGCAGCTGACCTAGTAATCAGGCCACTGAACTCCTGCGTCAGCGGAAGAAATGGGTAAAGGTAACTACAAGTTTCTTAATTCTTATGTGATAACTTATATTCTAACATCAAATTCATGCATTTATCTTTAATTTGGGTCTTTTCTTCTTCACTAAATTGCAATAGTTGATTTGCAGGTGGAAACAAAAACAGCGCAATTTTATGGTAAATGCATAAATTATTCATAACAACTGATTCCAAATAATTTGTTAAGCTTTCTTTTAATGTCTTTATAATAGTTGAGTCTGCTAAATTTACTGTACACTTTTTTTTAGCTTATGTACATAAATAATTGATAAATGCAATGTCGGATGTTTATCACTTTCTAATTGCTTAGAAGCTTCTTCAACACATTTCAATAAGGGAAGATATAGTTTTATATATCTTAGGTTTATACTATCAAATATCTGTATTTGATTACTTTCCTCTAAAATTTTAAAAATCTCCATCCAGTTATTTTCAATGGACTCGAATAAATAATAATAAGTGTTCCAACAGGCCGGTGAATAACTTTTTAAGGTTGTTGGTAGAAAAGAGTTTTTGCCGGATTTTTTAATATATTGAACCAGTTCTGAGTACAAACGGCATAAATTTAATATTACATATATACTTTGCACGGACTTTTGCAATACATCGTTAATCAGATGATTTATGCGTTTAATGTGGTTGTAAGTCCGAAAAGCTGCAAGCATGTTTGAACCTCTATCTGTTACAATAAACGTGTTTCTGGAGAACTTGCAGTTGAATTCTTGTAGCAATGGCTTTACTTTTCGTAAGATGTTGTCATCTAAAAATATTATTATAAATGTAATGCATTTGCTGAAGCGACGTTTATATATGACTTTTGTTATTTTGTGCTTTAAAAGGTTGTAGAAAAATAAAATTTATTTACGTGTAAATTTTTCTGCTTCCATAGATTGTAGTCCTAGCAAACGTTTCACCAAATTACCTTCCTTTAAATAGTGAATGGTAACAGCTATATATGTTTTTTTGAAGAAATTGTCGGTCTAAAGATCAGACGTCATTCCAAAACCAATGTCTCTTATCGCACTCATTTCCAACTTAGTTTTTTCAAAATAAATTTCATATACTCTATTAATATTTCTTGATATAGTGGTCAGATGAGCAAGTTATCAATATCAACAATATAAGCAAATTTTGTTCTAATACTTATAGAATATTTTATAAATTCCTTAAACCAACTATCCTCAACGGTTCTATAAGGTCTAGTATTTACTGCACACCATAGAGAAAAAATGCTTACCATCTTCCTTTTAGATTCTGGATCAACTTGCAATTTATCAACTGACGCTTGTGAAGAGCTTTCTAAAATGTAGCATTTATGTACTCCTGTTGTTATACTTATAATTGTTTAACTGTTTAATGTCAATTTTGTATGTTCCGTTTTGCAGTCTTTTTTTTATTATTCTTTTTTATTACAAAAACCCACAATTCAATATTTATATTAAAACAATCCAATTATGCCACAACTGTGCTTGAAAAATAACACTTCAATAAAATCAGATATAGAAACTCGAAATGAAGGAATATAAATTAAGAAAACTGTTACATATTTGTTTTTTAAACACTTGCCAATCTATGCACAATCGTCGCAATATCCTTTTCTTGTATTCATAGCTGCGCTTGACATAGAGTACTCTCAAGTACTCGCTTATTTAAAGTTGAAAAAGCGAAACCAAAGAGAAACGAGAATAAAGAATACTCCGTTAAAAAAATGATAATACGCATTCCATTCGTCAAATATTTTACTCTCACTAATTTGAATACTCTTATAGATATCTCTTGCAAATATTGTACATGTTTTGAGAGTAAAGAGAATGATTCCTAAAACGAATACATTCGTGCAGTTGTTTAGTGAGTGCCGTTTCACATTGGGACGCAAAAGAGTCTCATACCAGTTTATTGTGGGCGAGGGGACGACGAGGAAAGACGAAGGGACCGTGCCACTCGTGTTCGGGTGGCACGCTTTGTGTTCTTGTTCGTAACAGCTCGCTGCTACCCTTTTCAGCATTCCTTTTCACTTTCAAATCCTTTGAATGGTTGCAAGAGCGCTCGGTTTCAAATGAATTCGATCGCAAATTTGAGTTCTGTTATCTATTTTTGTATGTAATATGCAAATACGTATGCATAGAATAATAGAAATATTATGACAAATTGTAAATAAGGAGAAAATTAAGATATAGATTATGGAGTAAAGAAATTATGAATTTTTAAGACGGAGTAAAGAAATTATGAGTTTTTAATACTTAAAGATTAGAAAATTCCTATTATAAATTTGGCCTTGAAAATATTAGTTGCGGATATTCAATACATTCTTGTGGATTAGGGAATTCCCGTCTTTAGTATTTCTTTGAAACTATTTAGGTACTTGTATTATGCATATTGTTCTACCATATTCATGGTAATTCATTGCAAGCAAAATGTGTGACCATCATCTCAACATACAAATGAAATACGCAGCACGCAGTGTTGCGCGGTGTTGCGCAGTCGAACCGCACAAATATTTACGAAAATTTTGTGAAAAGGAATGCAGAAAAACTAGACTCGAGTTGCTGGACTCTTTTTGACCGTGTGAATGCCCAGAGCGACACCAAAAGAAAATTTGAAAAACATCAGACTCTTTTGAATCCCTGTCTGAAACGGCACTGAGTATAAGCGGATCACTGTTTTCATTAGGGTGCGTACGTGAAAATTTTTTGTCCTTTGTGTTTACAATTATTCTGTCTTCTTATGCAATATTCGTTATTCTACATATCATTAAATTTAATGTATCTTTATAATTCTTATTTCTTTATATTTGAGCACTATCTTGGAATGTCAAAAAGAAATATACTATATTAATATACTAACATAAATAACCGCAATGATAATTTTTGACTTGATATTGCAGTGAACCGGTTAAAAACCTTCCGTTAAGGACCTGTTGCGGTCATTTGATCTTGCGATAACCGAATTATGGGCATTAAACAAATTATGACATTTTTACGAAAGAAGATATAATATAAACCAAAAAGCCATTCCTTGGTTAAGTTCATGAATTTAAACATATACATATATGTACGTACATATATTTTAAAGAGTGAATCATTAGAGTATTTATAATTTTTTCTTTTAATTACTAAAGTTCTACCCATATATGCAAACGTATGTATGTATGCATCAAACGGCTTATTTGTGGGAATGTTTGCCAATTACCAGTTTTATCTACAATAAAAGCCAAATTGTCTATATTATAAATAAAAGCCAGAGGTTAGAACGCATTAGTATTAGTACTGCCCAATGCACAAATTCAGGCACAATTCAAATATGAAACGCACATAAACGATTAATATCACATTCGTTTTTAATACGGTCACAATCAACAATTTGACTTGGAATTGAGTGTCACGCATACATTGTGTATGCCAAAAATATTAAAAAATTTTATAAAAAAGCATAAATACGACAAAATCTAAAATACACATGAACACCAAAAATTAGTATATTAAAATTTTTTTATTTAGGTAACGTTTAAAAACTCAACTTGCCCTAGCAGATAAACAACAAATTGAAGATCATATAAAATCGACATTAGGAAGGAGTAGCATTCATTTTACATGAATCAAAATCCTAGTAAAAATCGCAATATGAGTGGCAGTCTCAAGAATTCAACTCCTCAAACCCCCAACATATGTTCGCAAGTTCCTAGCCGACCACGTAACCGCCAATTTCGTTTAATGTCAACATCAGTAAATGAAGAGGAATTATCTCCAAATTCACCGCCCACTATTCTTAACATAGTGGTACCCAGTCAAATAGGCAGTGAAACGTCCGTTGTAAGTGCTGGTTTCAATGCAGCATCGTTAAATGTGGTCACAAAATCGTCAGTGCCGTTTGTGTCGTCACCGATGTTAGATTCGCATGAGTACTATGAGAATTCACAACATCCTCAATATGATTCGTGGCTTGAACAATCTCATTCAACCATTAAATCGTCCACAAAGAAGTGCCAGTCAAAATCTACCAAAACTGAAAAAGCCTTTTCTAAGGAGGAAAGCTTTGAATCTCAACAATCAGCTTCAATTTGTCATCCTTGTAAACCCCCGCAACATGATGTAAGCTATTTGAAGCAGCGTCAGTATCGTTCTGAAACGGGAAATTGTGGAGATGCAGCTAAATTGAATGGGCAATTAAATGAAATGTTTGTTCGACGCTTCATAGACATTGAAAATGTGGCGAAAGGCGACACGGATGTAAGTAAGCGAATAAATGTTTTAGGCTCATATATTAATATATAAGTATATTAAAGTATAAACTTATGAAACGATTTATTTTATATGGCTTCAGTATTTCATACAATTATCTACACAAGTTATACCTGATGAAGTAGAGTGGAACTCGAATCAAAATGTGATTTTGTAAGATTATTTCCTTCGCCATGTCAGCTAGTGTAGTGTAGAAATAAGATAGTTGTTTGGCTAGTTGGGCTTGATTTTTATAATAGTTGAAGTTTGGTATTCACATATATATGTATATATACTTACAAGGAGAGGTTGTTGATTTTAATCAATTTATATAAACAATTCTAACTGTGACAAGATTGCTAAATTTGACCTAATTTTCCCATTTACTTGATCGATTGGTAACTATTATGCTGTTATGTTGTTCTACATATCAGGGCGTAATTAATGTTTTAATATTAACAATACTTACGCTTTCAACTTAAACCAATTCTGGACAACGGTGTTCATGATTTGAATTTTATTTTGTGGTACACAAATGATAATAAAGATACGACGAAAGTAGAAATAAATAATATACAAAATACACACGTAACAAGTAAGAGGGTGTCCATTTCATGCAGAACTGATTCTTATATTCGCATTCTTGATTTTGATTTTAATATGGTTTATTTTAAATATTATTCTGAAATAAATGATACCTCATGTACAGAGAAAGTGGCAAAGTTATTTAAATTAATACCACTTCTATAAATTTGATTATTGACATTATGGAGGTAAACTTATCAAAACAATAAACTAATTTTTATTTTAAAAAGATCAAGCTTGTAACTTATCAGGAATGGGTGACTATGCTAATGCAAATCAACGAAGTTATCATTGCTAATATGACAGATCTAGAGAGCGAGGTAGCAGAAAGGCTAGAATGCATGAAACGTCGGATTCAATCTAGCTGTAGCCAAACCAGCAATAATGAACATAAATATCGCCAGGACATTTGTTCGCTAATGAAACTCATAAAAAACGCATATCGTCATGATAACTGGGATATTCAAGGACTTGAATTTCAGACTGTAAATCTAACTGAGATTTTGGGCATGAGAAATACTACTGTATGTTAAGATGTATAATATAAATAATTTCATAACTATGTAATTCTATTACTTACAGTGTTCGGACCCAGAAAAATCAAACATTATGAGGGTGAGTGGATATTTGCTTTTTAAGTTAAATGGCTGATATTAACAGAAAAAAAAGTTTTTTTCCGATGACAAATACTTACGAATTTCGACATTATCCACACGCATATCTTATATAACGATACTTCAAATCTATGCAGTATCAATTTCTGTCTTAATAAAACAAAAAATAACAAGTAAGGAAGGGCTAAGTTCGGATGTAACCAAACATTTTATACTCTCGCAAAGTCAAATGGTATACTCGTTTGAAATTTCTTCGTGGATTGACTGATATTTTCGGTAGAAGGTCAACTATAGGCACTGGGGTCCACATATTCAGTACTTAGGGGCTTGAACAGTTTTGGTTCGATTTAGACAATTTTTAGTCACAAGGTGGCATACTTTAAACGTATTATTCACGCAAAGTTTTACCCCGATATAAACATTGTTGCTTGATATGCATAGTGGAAAGAGAAAGAATCAGATGGAATTGAAAATGGTGTTATATGGGAAATAGGCGTGGTTGTAGTCCGATTTCGCCCATTTTCGCAATATAACATAGAAATATGAAAGGAACGTTATGCACTGAATTTGGTTGAAATCGGTTAAGCAGATCCCAAGATATAGGTTTTCACCTAAAAGTGGGTGGTGCCACGCCCACTGTCTAATTTTGAACGCGATTCCCATAAAGTCATCTCATATTATCGCAGAGATAAAATTTAATGTATCTGGTGTGTTAAGTGCTCCATTTATCGCGCTTTGAGTAGTTTTTAACAGTACCGTTATATGGGGAGTGGGCCTATTAGGGGCGTGACCACGCCTACTTTAAAAAATTTTCTAAACTGCAGATGCCCCTCTTTAATGTGAGCCTGTGTACCAAATAACAGTCTTGTATCTTATTGCGGAGCTTAGTTATGGCAATTTATTTGTTTTTGATTAATGGCGTTTTGTGGGCGTGGCAGTGGTCCGATTACGCCCATACCAACCGTCTCACGGTACCAAGAAACATGTGTACCAAGTTTCATAAAGATATCTCAATTTTTACTCAAGTTAGAGCTTGCACGGACGGACGGACAGACAGTCACCCGGATTTCAACTCGTCTCTTCATCCTGATCATTTATATATAAGGTTGTCAAATATTTGCTCTTCATTCAATGCTTTATAAAAAGTGTTACAGTGATCGGATTTAGTTAAAATATGCGCCGTTTTGTTCGATGATCTGCTTCCATCTAGACGGCAACTTCATAATACCTTCCTCGTAGAAGCCCCCCTCCTTATTTGCGAAGAATTCGGACAGCCACTTTTCACAAGCCTCTTTTGAGTTCAACTTCACACCACCAAGGGCATTCGCCATGGACAGGAACAGGTGGTAATCACTTGGCGCTACGTCCTAGCTATATGGTGGATGCGATAAAACCTCCCATCCGAGCTCCCGTAGCTTCTGACGAGTCATCAACGAAGTGTGTGGTCTAGCGTTGTCCTGGTGGAACACTACACCCATCCTGTTGGCCAATTCTGGACGCTTCTGGTCGATCGCCTGCTTCAAGCGGTCCAGTTGTTCGCAGTAGATGGTAGAATTAAGCGTCTGGCCATATGGGAGCAGCTCATAGTGGATGATTCCCTTCCAATCCCACCAAACACACAGCAAAACCTTCCTGGCCGTCAATCCCGGCTTGGCCACTGTTTGGGACGATTCACCGGCCTTCGACCACGACCGTTTTCGCTTGATATTGTCGTATGTGATCCATTTTTCGTCGCCAGTCACCATCCGCTTCAAGAATGGGACGAGTTCGTTCCGTTTCAGCAGCATATCGCAGGCGTTGATTCGGTCCAGAAGGTTTTTTTGCGTTAAATTATGCGGCACCCAAACATCAAACCTTTTTTTGTATCCAGCCTTATGCAGATTGTTCAAAATGGTTTGGTGACTAACTCCCATCTCCTGGGCGATGTCACGAGATGCCATATGCCGGTCTAACTCGATGTATTCCATGATTTGATCGGTATTTATCGTCACAGGTCTTCCGCCGGCTGGCTTATCCATGGTGTCGTTTTCACCGGCTCTGAATCGTCGAAACCATTCCTCCGCGGTTCGAAGTGATAGAGTACCATCCCCCAAAACACCATTAATCTCACGGAACGTTTCTCTAGCGGATTTGCCTTTAACGAAGGAAAACTTTAAAATAGCGCGAATTTCGGCGTTAGTGAACTCCATGTTTACACGTCTATAACTGTTGCACGCAATATCCACACTAATCATGCATAGAGTTGTTTTGTAGGTTATGCCAAGACCTTTCAAATTATGTATAGTGTTGCCAGATACGAGCTCTGTAGCGCTTTGTACATAGCCGCGAAATTCATAAGACAAAAAAGCGGAAGGGAGATATTTGACAACCTTATATATAACCCTATATCTAACAGCAAACATATGTATGCACAAAAAATAAGGAAGAGCTCAGATAAGAAGAAAGAGAATATAGAGGAATATAACTCAGTTTAATGAGAGTAAAAGGATAAGTATTAAGGATATTTTTACTTTTGCAACATGTTGCAACAGAGAGTATAATGTTTTTGTTCACCTGACGGTTGTTTATAACATCTAGAATGAATCGTGATGTACAAGTATATCATCGTGATGTATGGCACTCCATATATACATTTGTACATCAAAATGACCAGACGAGCTGATCGTCCAAATTGGACAATGGGCGTTACAACGTCCACCTTTAGACAAGACCGCCGAAAGAAAAACTGGGTCCAGGGGTAAATACATCTAATACTTTATAAACTTTATTAACTATCTTCCCACATACTACTTCAATGTTTTTAAAGAATAAGTCAAATACAACGTAGTGTTTTATGTTCTCATCACATCTGAATTAAAATTGATTTCTTGTTGATGTTGGGTGGAACAAATTTGTTTTGTACGATTTTGAAAATCAATAATGTATAAATCAGTTTATACATATGTAGACTTTCAGTAAAAAATATTTTTCAGATTATACCGGAATATATGAATATTGGGATAGCAAGGCTTGACAGTTAATAAGGAGATAGAAAAATCTCATTCAAACATTTATTTATCGATCTAATTAATTAAAAAGGGTTCTTTTAAAATCTATTGACTATTATGATTAAGTTTTTGAACATGCAGTTTAAAAGCCTCCAATCTTTAATTATTTGAAACTTAGAAGTGCGCGAATGCGTCGATAATACAGGGTAGCTAGTCCTGAAATCTTGCCCTGTTACTATTATGATCGATTTAAATTTTTGATTTTTTCTAGAAACGGGTAAAATGCAAAATATTCTCAAAGCGATGCAAATATTTAGGAAAAGTGCTCCTAATTTTCGAACATTGATGGCATTCAATAAGTAGCATGGAGTAAGACGGGTTTCAAAATTTGCATTGTAAACGTGTCTAAGGTGAATAGCTTCTTTGAACAACTCAACAGTTACATTAACGGAATACTTTTTAGAAAATCAGCTGCGTTGAGTTAATCTTTTTTCATATTATGAAACTGCCATAGAAATGAGAACGATTTCTTTTGAATTCAATTTCCTCTTTTCTGTAATTTTCACACACTTCTTTATTCGTCGTTTCCGTGTTTTCTTTTTTGCTCATGGTAAAATCGATTCGACATGCTCTAAATTCTCTTTGGCAATTTTGCATTCTATCAACGTCGCGACGAGTTTCTGCCGTAAGGTTGAGTTTTTTAACTTTTTTCAAAGCGTTTATCAATCCGGGAAGATGTTTCGCAAATGGCTTGACAGCCACGATACTAGCAGTTCACCTTGCACTGCTACTGAAAATAATGAAACATTTTTGAACGACAACAAAAAAGTTATTGCTCGAGGACAGCATTCATCCTGGTCGACTCCAACCAAATTCAGCTTGTGGGCACGACAGGTCGAAATAACTGCATACTTATTTTTACGTTGGATGTAATTTTGCGCTCTTTCATTTTTACCGCTCATATTACTACCATTATTAGAGCCCTGTCCACGTCAATCTTCCAATGTTTTACAAATTAAAGCGGCAATAGCTTTTATGGTTTTTTCGTGACAATCTACAAAAGCGAGTAAACGTTCCTTTATCGGTAATCACAACGTTTAAATAAATGTTCGAATTAATCCCCTATCAAAGACATTCTAATTTTTAACCATTCTCTTAATTTTTTTGGAAAATACTAGCTGTAATCCTATATCTCAGAAAGTACTTGACCAATTTCTACCAAATTTGGTGCATAAAATTAGCTGGATTTTCTTTTGTCAGATTTTGAAAAGGGGCGAAACCCAATTACAATCGCGCCTACTATGCATGGGAATATATTATAACAAATTTTAAATTCTATTTGGTTTTTTCATTGCACAGTATTTACCTAGAGAGCCAATGACGTTATCAGAATATAACTTTTCAAGAGTCTAGATGTCGAGTATGTTACCCCAGTGCCTATGGCTGCATTTATACCAAAAAAATCGGTCAATCTGTGAGCAATCTTAATGAAACTCGGAGATCATCTTTTTCTGGCAATAATATGTGGTGATACATAAAATTGATAAAAACACGCCCATACTACCCCTGCTTCCATACACCTAATGTACGAATTTCAAACTTCCGGTTGGATTTATACCGTATATATCGGTAATTATATAAAATTAGTTTTATTTATTATTTATATATATTATTATATATATTCTATGAATGATATTATTGGTTATACGATAAATGAACTGCATATTATTGCTATTTACTATTTTTCTAATTCTTCTGTTAACAAGTATTCATCCATTGAAAACTATATACATACATATGTATGTACTTGTACATATTTCTGATAGAATTATGACAGAGCAATTAACTTTTTCGACCTCTTTATTAATTTCATGTTGGCAGCATGGATTTTATAAATGGAAAACTATACTAACAAATTCGCTTTAATTGGTGAACAATGTATCAATGGGTTTAGAAAAAATAAGCTACTAATGTTTTGTATTTAGACTTCAGCAAATCATTCGAAAGTACAAAT